CCAGTTATCATATAGTTGTACACCAAGTCGTCTAAGTCTAAGTATGGGGCCCCACTGCAGTGTCTCCAAGCAAGGCCACTCCGACAATAGCCATGTGAAAGAAACCCAACAATCCATGTGAGTTTCATTTTATAAAAAAGTGGTTACTAAACCGGATCATGTCCCAATAAATCATCATTGATGCTGTTCAACAAAACATAAAAGCAACAAAACACAAAAAAAAACAAAAAAAACTGAAATCATCATGTTCTTGCGGCTTAAAACCATGTGAAAACCCAATGTTTTTGGCCATCGCCCCACTGAAAACATCCTGGCAGGCCTGGATGCAACAGAACTTGGGCCATGGCAATTTTCATCCAGAGTCACTTGGCGGGCGAAAAAAAACACCACTCACACCACGATCCAGGTTGTGGGGGATGGTACTGGGAATACCATCCAGCTTTTTGAGTGGTTAGTAACCATACTCATACTGCTTGGTGGTTTGGAGCATAAATTTTATGACTTTCCAGAAACAGTTGGGAATGGAATCATCATCCCAACTGACGGAACTCCATCATTTTTCAGAGAGATTGAAACCACCAACCAGTATAAGATCTTATACATTCCATTTATAAATGGGATGTCAGTACTTAATCAAGTGGTTAGTAACCACACTTACACGCCATTTATAAATGGATCCCCAAAAAAGGGGACTTACTAACCCAAAGTTATCAGCCACACTAAGTGGGATGCTCCTCCAAGCAACGGGATGTTCAGAATGGAGGACCAAGAGGTTTTTGTTTTTTTTCCCATTTTCCAAGGTTTTGGGCCAAATTCCAGAAATATCCAGAAATATATGTTCTGGATATTTCTGGATAATCAATTTAGGGATACCTTTTTATATACCTTCCAATATTCCAATGTATCTTGGCGGCTGTACCAAGGGGGGATGTTTATCTGAGATGTTGATGGGAATTAACCATCCTGAGTTTTAGTTTTATGTGTGTTTTTGTTCTCACTGTGTTAAAGATATCATAATTGATAAATGATGGTTGATGGCTTGTAGGGGGTGATGCTACCTGGTTTGGCATTCAACCGCGATTCCAAAACTGTGCTGTGTCCAAAACTCTTTGCTGATTCTCCAACGGCTTTCCTGAGCGCATCTGCAAGTTCAATTTGGTTATAGAATGGGCTAGCGCCCTGGTGCCGCCGACCCCCCTATTGGGGGTGGTCCGGTAGAGAGAGAGAGAGAGAGAGAGAGAGAGCATTGCGCTTAGAATTGTGATAGCTACAGGAAAGGTCTGCCGCGGCCTGAGTGGCGCCTGGGAGCTGCAGGGAAGGGTTTGGGGAGTTTTGAGGGCTGGCAAACGGCAGCCTTGAACGTCCATAAAAAGACGCTGCCACGGCCTCAGGGACTTGTTGGAGCTGCAGGAAAGGTCTGCCGCGGCCTGAGTGGCGCCTGGGAGCTGCAGGGGAGGGTTTGAGAGTTTTGAAGGCTGGCAAACGGCAGCCTTGAACCTCCTTAAAAGGACACTGCCACGGCCTCAGGGACTTGTTGGAGCTGCAGGAAAGGTCTGCCGCGGCCTGAGTGGCGCCTGGGAGCTGCAGGGAAGGGTTTGGGGAGTTTTGAGGGCTGGCAAACGGCAGCCTTGAACGTCCATAAAAAGACGCTGCCACGGCCTGCAGCGGGACTTGGGGAGTTTTGAGGGCTGGCAAACGGCAGCCTTGAACGTCCTTAAAAGGACACTGCCACGGCCTCAGGGACTTGTTGGAGCTGCAGGAAAGGTCTGCCGCGGCCTGAGTGGCGCCTGGGAGCTGCAGGGGAGGGTTTGGGGAGTTTTGGCGAGTTTTGGGCTGGCAAACCAGCCTTGAACACTCTCAGGAAAGGTCTGCCGCGGCCTGAGTTGCGCCTGGGAGCTGCAGGGGAGGGTTTGGGGAGTTTTGAAGGCTGGCAAACGGCAGCCTTGCCGCGGCCTGAGTGGCGCCTAGGAGCTGCAGGGGAGGGTTTGGGGAGTTTTGAGGGCTGGCAAACGGCAGCCTTGAACGTCCATAAAAAGACGCTGCCACGGCCGCAGGGACTTGTTAGAGCTGCAGGAAAGTTCTGCCGCGGCCTGAGTGGCGCCTGGGAGCTGCAGGGGAGGGTTTGAGAGTTTTGAAGGCTGGCAAACGGCAGCCTTGAACTCCTTAAAAGAACACTGCCACGGCCTCAGGGACTTGTTGGAGCTGCAGGAAATGTCTGCCGCGGCCTGAGTGGCGCCTGGGAGCTGCAGGGGAGGGTTTGGAGCAGCCTTGAACGTCCTTAAAAGGACACTGCCACGGCCTCAGGGACTTGTTGGAGCTGCAGGAAAGGTCTGCCGCGGCCTGAGTGGCGCCTGGGAGCTGCAGGGGAGGGTTTGGAGCAGCCTTGAACGTCCTTAAAAAGACACTGCCACGGCCTCAGGGACTTGTTGGAGCTGCAGGAAAGGTCTGCCGCGGCCTGAGTGGCGCCTGGGAGCTGCAGAATGGGTTTGGGGAGTTTTGAGGGCTGGCAAACGGCAGCCTGGAACCTCCGTAAAAGGACACTGCCACGGCCTCAGGAACTTGTTGGAGCTGCAGGAAAGGTCTGCCGCGGCCTGAGTGGCGCCTGGGAGCTGCAGGCGAGGGTTTGGGGAGTTTTGAAGGCTGGCAAACGGCAGCCTTGAACCTCCTTAAAAGGACACTGCCACGGCCTCAGGGACTTGTTGGAGCTGCAGGAAAGGTCTGCCGCGGCCTGAGTGGCGCCTGGGAGCTGCAGGGAAAGGTTTGGGGAGTTTTGAGGGCTGGCAAACGGCAGCCTTGAACCTCCTTAAAAGGACGCTGCCCAACGGCTCAGGGGACTTGTTAGAGCTGCAGGAAAGGTCTGCCGCGGCCTGAGTGGCGCCTGGGAGCTGCAGGGGAGGGTTTGGGGAGTTTTGAAGGCTGGCAAACGGCAGCTTGAACCTCCATAAAAGGACACTGCCACGGCCTCAGGGACTTGTTGGAGCTGCAGGAAAGGTCTGCCGCGGCCTGAGTGGCGCCTGGGAGCTGCAGGGAAGGGTTTGAAGTTTTCGGAAGGTGGCAAACGGCAGCCTTGAACCTCCTTAAAAGGACACTGCCACGGCTTCAGGGACTTGTTGGAGCTGCAGGAAAGGTCTGCCGCGGCCTGAGTGGCGCCTGGGAGCTGCAGGGGAGGGTTTGGGGAGTTTTGGAGGCTGGCAAACGGCAGCCTTGAACGTCCACAAAAAGACACTGCCACGGCCTGGGACTTGTTGGAGCTGCAGGAAAGGTCTGCCGGGGCCTGAGTGGCGCCTGGGAGCTGCAGGGGAGGGTTTGGGGAGTTTTGAAGGCTGGCAAACGGCAGCCTTGAACGTCCATAAAAAGACACTGCCACGGCCTCAGGCACTTGTGAGAGCTGCAGGAAAGGTCTGCCGCGGCCTGAGTGGCGCCTGGGAGCTGCAGGGGAAGGTTTGGGTAGTTTTGGCGAGTTTTGAAGGCTGGCAAACGGCAGCCTTGAACCTCTTTACTGCCACGGCCTCAGGGACTTGTTGGAACTGCACAGGGTCTGCCGCGGCCTGTTGCGTTTTGGAACGCCGTAGAAACAGAGATTGCTGTGGCATGAGTGGCTCGTGGGAAGTGCACAGAAATTGCTGTGGCCTGAGTGGCCCCTGGGCGGTGAACAGAGGGTGCTATGGCCTGGGTGGCTCGTGGAAAGTGCAAAGCATTGGGAACGAAAAAAAGTTCCACACCTGCGGTGGTCCCAGGCGCCGCCCCTGCCTTGGCTAAGGCAGGGGTCGGCGGATCATCTTTTTCATCCCCCTCCTGAACGTCAGAACCCTCAACATCATGACCTTCCTCCTTCTCAACATCATCATCCTGCACCTTGTCCTCCTCCACTTCATCTTCCACATTATCATCCTCATCCTCATCCTCCTCAACATCATCATCCTCATCCTCATCCTCTTCAACACCATCAACCTCCACATCATCCTCCTGCACCTCATCATCCTCAACATCATCATCTTCAACATCATCGTCCGCAACATCATCATCATCATCATCATCATCATCATCATCATTATCATCAACGGTATCATACATTATCCCCCTACTCCCCCTACACTGTTTCGGGAAAAATTTTCAAAAAATCAGGACGTTTTTACTACAATGATTTCCTTGTTGCACGTGTTTTTTCCCTTGCCCGCTATGGCATGCTAGCTCACATGTTGCCTCATACTTGAGGTGTCCAAAGGTTCGCAGTTGGCAAGCCGGTTGGAGAGGATTTCAGAATTTCGCCCGATTTTTTGAACTTCGCTTGCAGGGTGGACAGGCAGGTTTGCAACTGGCGCTTTGCAGCGACTCTGCCAATGTGAATGCAATTTTTAACTAGCCACGAAAGTGATTCAATGTTTGACTCATTTCGATTTAATGTTTGTCAGTGATAAAAATTATCACCAGATTTGTCAACGGTTACTGTTTCACTGTTTCAATGTTTCCTTCGAAAAATCTTAGTGCATCCGCAGTGTTGCGAGGCCTGGGTGCAATCGGAAGGGGTGAGAGCATGGTCCTGAGAAGTCCAAAGCAAAGCCTGAGCAAGGCCTAAAAACCTAAGGCAAATTTTTGGACATGGTGACTAAAACAAATCGAAAAACGGGGCAGTCAAAAGTACTGCAAGGCTACCTGCCATTGCCATAGCTGTTGCATGCAGTGACTGTATTTCACTGCAAAGACCTTTGGGGATATCAAGCATTGAAACTCATATGTTTGATTGTTTAAAACAGTATGACAGTGAGAGACTTGACATTCTTCCTTCACATGTAGTTTAAGCACATTTAAGCACTTGGTGCGAACACTCGCACTGGTTGTATTTGTTCTTCAGCCTACTATGATCTACTATGTAGCCTTTGTGCAGCTGCAGTTCTCTGAATACAGCATCAATATGACCAACAGGAACAGCAACACTATCATTAGAAAAAATGATGACCCGAATGACCCAGACCAATAGGAGGTCTGGGTCAAGATTGCAGATGGGCAGCCTTAGTCGTGTGACTTTGCCGGTGCTGCTTCTACTCTGCTTGAAAGGCCTTGGCTTTCAGACCTTCGTATCGTTCCTATCATATCCTGCTGGATTTGACAAAGTCCTTACTACCCAACGAAGAGCTCAAGATAAATGGCAGACGGAAGATCCCTTTCAGCAGCGCGGAGGGGTGATGACAACGGACCTCAGGAACTTCGAGGAAAGGACATACTTCCAGGACACACGACCCAGACGAAGCTTTAATGAAAGAAGAGGTAGGCCAGGTCGGAGAAATTTCCGTGGAGAAAGAACCACTGAAAGAGGTGCAGGACGAAGTCCCAAGAGAAGTACAGAAAGAAAGGTGTGGAAAGACGAGTCCGTGAACGTCACAGATCTCACTGAAGAGGAAAGAGAGGAACGATTTAGAACTCAAATCCAGAGCCCTGTTACTCTCACAACGTTCATACAGAGGTCCAAGACTCCAGGAGAATTCATGTGGACCATTACAGCTGCCATGGAAGAGACAATGCTGAATCACATCCACATCGCAGCTGCCTTCAGCAAACTTGCATCCTTGAAAAAAGCTACACCACTAGTGGACAAAATCCGACGAAGTCCGACCCTGGTGCAATTGGCAAAGCAAGCTGCTCGGGTCGCTGATCGAAGGGAGTTCAGAGCACGAGAAATTGCTACGCTGCTGATGTCCTGTGCTGCTTTGAGAGTGGACTTGCCATGGATCTCGGAGGAATTGGGCTTGTCCCTAGCAAAGTGGGTTCCACAAACTGCTCAAGATATGAACCCACAAGCACTTTCCAATACTGTCTATGGATTGGGTGTCTTGGACCTTGGTGATTCTCCGGAGGTGTCTGCTGCAATAGACCACTGCGCAACTATGATACCGACACAATTGGGCCGTTTCTCCAGCATGGATGTGGCACAGGTCGCGTGGGGTATCGGAGCACGAGATGGTCGAGAAGACAGCAGCAAACTGATGGAAGCTCTTGCAAGTTGGGTCACCGCAGAGGCTGCCAACCTGCCAGCGTTTGCAGCAAGTGTTGATCTTCCAATGATTGCAGTGGCATTTGTGCGATTGCAGAACTGGCAGCCAGAGATGATGAATGCAATAGCTGCACGTTTTGTTGACCTTAATGACCTTTCCCGACTTCGGCTTTGGAGCTTAGCTGCTTTGCTTTGGTCTTGGAGCCATCCTTGTTCTCCCGCTTTGGATGCAGATTCAACTGAAGGCATCGTCCACCCTGATTCTTTCTCGGCTTCTCGTTTCTTGCAGAAGCTTAGGAGGGCGGCAAATTCTCGAAGAATAACGCAGGAAGATATTGATCGGGTTCCTGAGGGTCCCAAGGGCGAAACCAGCAAGTCATGGTCAACGTCCAAAACATCAAACATTCTCAGTGTAGCAGAGACATTTTAGACTACTTTGACCCGAAAGAAAATCAAACCTTGCGGATCTTGCACATAAAACATGATCAAATATGGAAAAATCAGCCGAACACCAGACTTCGGCTTCCACTGCTTCTATATGACCAATGCTGCCGAGAGGTGGCAAAGCTGGTACCACTGCAAATCCAGACAGTGAGCCAGTGGTGTGCGCAGTCAAATGCGGAATAAGTGCGCAGATGCCAACTTTCGAGAAAAACAATGAAACAATATTAAACAAGTAAACAAGTCATCTCCTTTGACCTTCGCAAGTGCTTCTTCTCTCCTCCTTGCTTCACTCTGGGTAAGAAGCAATCACCAGTAGGAGCGGAAGAACAACAGACATGTCCGTGTGCACCAGTTTCATTTGAAGCATGCAGCGTACAGCAAAGTTGTAAACAGAGTGTGGCAAACCTGTTGAAATCACTGGACTTAGGTTGTGTCATTTCATCCAGACTACACGCGCTGCACCATCTTGAAACCCAACCAGGTTCTGTGCCTCATTCTGCCACCTTTACTTGAAAGGACAATGAGAGTTTACTTGTGGAAACACTTCCCTTCGAAAGAACTTTTCTACCTTGACATCGGGCATGGTTTCGTTTACTTCTTTTCCAGAGTAGGGTTCTGGTGTTTGTTTGCAAATTGGTGGGTTTCTCTCCAACGGTCAGACAACAAGAGCTCCAGCTTTGTCCTATCTATCCTGAAGAATCGAACCATTCCTTCAAGTTTAGGTGGGTTTGAGCATGCAAATGATGAGAGAGCTTGGTCGTATTTTTCCTTATTTGGAGTTTTGTCTCTAATTGATGTCGTGTGCTTTGTTCTCCAATGAACAGGCAATTGAAGTGGTGTTGCCTGACGGTCAGCCGACCAGAGCAAGAGTTCTACGACTAGCAGGCGCCTAATTCCCAGACACTGAGAATGCAAGACTAGCAGGCGCCTGTTTCAGATGCAAGACTATCTTGTGCATGTCACTTTCTCAACTTGTGCTTGACGACAAGGTGTTTGTGAGCGCTGTTTTTGAAACATCTTTTCCTGACATGACTCCGGGGAGTCTTTTCTTTCGGTACTGACAAGATTCACGAAAAGAAACCTAGTAGAAATGCTTGGCATATCCATGTGTGGGCTGATCTCATTCCAGGTCATGAACTACTTCAATTCCGAACAGAGTTCAGCCACCCCCAATCAGAATGCATAGATTTACTTTGTAGACATCATTCTGTGTAATTTGAGTGCACTCAGTCACTCAGTCTATGCAGTTCGATTGTACAGTTCTGTTGCATGTACTCACACATATAAGCGGCATACAGAAAAACTCTGATATTTCAGCGCATTTTCTGGCTGTGAATGTGGCAGGGTTTGATGCACGTGGAGCTTTAGTGGAAGTCCAGCCGGAGGCCGAGCAGATAAAGTTGCGGGAGTACAACAAAAATAACGACAGTTGTGCCAATCTTCTGACAACTCTTTGACAGCTTCGAAGATCATGCTGCAGTTAATAGCAACTTGCAGAGACACGCACTTGTGCAGCAGCGTGTAATGTACCATTTAAAGTTCATTGGATGAAAGGAATGACCGTGTTAGCGCATGCATCAGTACAACTCGTGGGATTACAAGCGGAGAGGCATCAAAATAATATCCATGATGATCTGATCCGTGATGTAAAGTCAAAGATGTATGGTATTCCATGGTATTCCTATGTATTCCTATGTCATATGAGTCATATGTATTCCTTGTGTCACCTCCCTCAATTATATATATACACACATTATAATGAGTGCTTTTCTTCTGTCCAGCTTGCCCCTTTTCACCTTCTTGCTAGCGGCTGCCCACGCAGCTTGCAGAGAGGCCCCCTGGCCATGCGCTCCAGGTTGTATGTTTGCCCTTTGCCTGTACACTGCAATGTGCATTGTGCGAGTACAGTTAATTATCCCGTCACTTGTATAGTTTTGCCCCCGCTTTACTTTATTCATCAAAAGATTGCTCGGAGTTTCCAAATTCTCGCACCTGGAGCCCATTCCCAAGCCCTTTTCGCGACCCCACCGATGCTTCAGCTTTCCCAAGTTTGAATTCCTTATTGAACCAAGATGATGTTCGTAAATCCACTCAATTATACATCATAAGGCTTCACAAATGAACTGCTTATCAAACAACAATTGTGGAAATCCCCTGGAGATGCTCAACGCGAATTGAATTCCAATTGGCCAAAGCCAATTCCGTTTTTTACATTAACAAAAAAGCAATGCTGCTGCAATACCCAAGCCTCAACTGTTTATGTTTTGAAGATTTTGCTGAGGAACCAAGCAAACTGTTCCAATTTTTTGACATTGAAAGAAGTAATGTGGGGCGTTAAGCAAGGAAAACCACACTACAAATGTCGCTGACAAAGAAAGACCTGGCAGGGTTTTCTCGGAGTAGCACAAGTTAAACGCATGATAGACATGCCAAAAGAATCCAAAAGAGGTGTAACGGTGGCGACCGCGGTTACGCGAACTTTTGATTTTAAACCTCTCTATCCATCTCGGCATTCAGAGATGTTGCATCCCAATTCTTTGCCCGAGGCAGAAGAGGGAATTCTCACAGTTCAATTGCCAGGACACTGACGTGGTCAAACAGCATTTTTCGAAGGGATTTTTCTTTTTGGGACCGCACAAGGATTCTTTTTCCTGAAAACGCAGCTGTAGCTGCAGAGATGAAAACCTGGTACATTTTGGGTTACTGTATGTCTTTGTGCTTTGAGGGTTGGCAGCAGAAGGATTTGCTTTTTTATTAATGCTAAGCATGAAACCGTTCTGCACTCCGGCGCGCACACACAACAGAGTGCTCGAGCATGCATAGATACAAATGTGGGCACATCGGATTTTTTTTTACGCCCGCGCCTGTACTCCCAACATATTTGGATCGGGTCTAAACCCGCGCGATTTCAGAGATATTATTTCACCATATTTAAGCATATTTCACATGTAAAAACCCATCATTCTGCATTTTCACCGTGCCTCTCACCATAGGAGCCGGGTCGGCGGAGTTGAAGGCCAGCAGATGGAAGGAGACGCTGGGGAGATGAAGAGAGCATAGGACAGCAGCGACGACTTCTTTTGACCGAGGCTGGTGCCATTTGTGATTTCTTTATCTTTATTATTATTACTATTATTATTATATAATTGATATTTATTAATTAATACTATCATTATAATACCTCTAATTGTTTTTTTTATTCTTTGACAAAATTGAAACTACCCCAAGGGAATCCAGTCTTATAGGTTCTTTATGATTCTTTCTCTTTCCAGCTGTATGCTCGCAACGCAGTTGGTGCTGACATCCCGGAACAGTAGTAGTCGCTGTTCTCTAGCTAAATTGCCTTGGAAAGCAATTCTTGTGAGCCAACAAGACCTCTGCATTTGTCATATCATTTATTGGCCGAATTGGCCGCTTTGTCCGCCCTTGGGTATCTGTCCTCTGAAGGATCTGGCGCTTCGTGCCCCTCGCCCAGCACTGCATTTGCTGCGCCAGAAAGACCTGGACCAGGACCCTTTGACAGAAGCAATGGTCGGAACAGCCTGTGAGAATCTCCCAGAATTTACGATGTACATTATTTTTAGCCGAAAGATACAGTATAACTTCATGCAATTTCATAGTCATGAAAATGCGATAAAGATTCCAGGATGTAGAGCAAGGATGACTCAATGATGACATGTTGATTTGAGTTCTGTGATGACATATCTATATCTAAACTGTGCATTAAATGACCAGAACGCCAGAACCATGCAACATCTGCACGTGATTGTTTGAATGCAACCGACCACCAAAATATTTCCGGCCGATTGGCCAGGCCTTCGTTGACCTCGGAGAGCGCATGTTCACAGATGCGCTTGCCTCTCTGGGTTGGTTTGCACAAGTTGCTGTGAACAAATTACTGGAGTCGGAAGTTTGAAAGTCTTGAAATGAAAGTCTGAGAGACTAAGAGTATACTAAGAGTCATTTAGAGTCAGAGATTAGAGCCCACTAAGTCACTAAGACCTGTCTAAACGATTTCTGTGGTCTCAGGCCATCTTTGTGCGCAATGAACGGATAGCCAGAGAACTTGGCGCAGCGTGGTCCCAGGCGCCTTCAGAAACGGAGCAAAGTCCGGAGATTTTGTTGAATTTTGTCCAGAATATTCGACATTTCTCTAAAGTTATGCAAGCTAAGTAATGGATAATGGAAATGTCGAACGCATTGAACATTTTGTTGGTTTCTTCATTGTGGGCATCTTGAACTCAAGAGCAATGACGAAAACAGGTGCTAGGGTGAAGTGGACTGTGTGAAAGACAACCCATAAGAACAGCTCACACATCCGTGAACACCGTTATTTTGATGGAAAACAAAAAGGAAACCCCACCAAATCTGAAACCCTTTCCAGAAGCCTTCGCAAGGAACCTGAAACTTGGCAATGCATCTTCAGCCCGTTTTCAGGAAAATATTAGTGTTTGGCAATGCATCTTCAGATAGTTTCAAGAAGCAGGTTTGATAAATTATTTAAAGAAGCATTTGGTGGGGGCATTTCAGCCATCGTGCCTTTGTATTATCTTGGTCCACAAGTTTACGCACTCCTGAAAGGGTTTGGGATTGGTTTCTGCGGTTTTATTTCAAGCTCCACTTTAAGTTCCATTAATGGTTGGACATGGAGGCAATAGCCCCATAGGTTTTGATTTGTTGGTACCGGCCATGCACCCAATGCGTTTGTCCAGCGGCTGAAAACCTGCTTATGTAACCTGCTTCTTTTTCCATTAGTATTTGGCTTTTATACACCAAACTGGTTGCTATGTTCGCCGGAATGCAGGAGATGCTGCGACGCTGCGAGGCCATGTGATGGCTGAAGCAAGATGAGAGAACTGCCTTCGCAAACTTTTGAACTCACATAGAAGAACAATGGAAATGTGATATTTTCTTTGAAGATCTTTGAAGCATTGTGACATTGTGACATTTGTTTTTGAATTTTCATGTCCTTTTCTCAGGGGTTCACCCTCCAGGATGGCACTGTGGAACCTAAACAGCCCCCCACGGACCAGAATGTGACGCTGAGCGGCGAGGCCCTTTTTTGTGGATCGTGGTAGATTTGAAGACATCAAGTGACATCAAGTGACATCAAGTTACTAAGTCGACCAATTCACGTTGACTGCAAGGCTAGGTCAGGCGAGGGATTCTGTCGAAGCCTGTTGGCTCTTTGAGACCTGTTTTGGTGGCAGGTCTTTTGGTGCGACAGAGATCGCATATCAGCTGGGTTGCTGGAGGTTCAGCAGTCAACGCGAAGTGACACGAAGTGCCTTGAATCGAAGGGAAAGTTCTGCCTCTCTTGGCGAGGCTGAAGGATTGGCAGTTCGCTGCTTTGGGACGCCAGAGCATCTTGTGGAGGCTGAACTTTTTTGCCAAATTTCATTCGCTGCGTCAAAACTTTGTCCAGTTTGCGTTGCCAAGTTCTGTGCTTTCAGTACTTTCACTTACTCAATGTCTGCTTCAAAGTCAGTGGCTGGTGTGTACAAGTTTCCATGCTACTCTCCTGCCAACAGTTCTGCAGTGAATCATGCAAGCGCAAAGACACATGTACAATTGGGTAGTTTCACTGTGCCCAAAATCTAAAAGGCAACAGAGCAAGTTCAGAGCAAGTTCAGAGCACGACAAATCTTTGGGGACTTTAAGCAACTTTAAGCAACTCTGCGCGTCTGGGATCCTGGGATCACCAGCAGTTTCAAAACTAGACAAATAGATTTTAAATAGTTCAAATAGACTTTAAATAGACAAGTTTTGGATGTTTTTGGGTTTGGTACTTCCCTTTTTCAGTGTGGTTTTGAGCTGGTCGAATTGCCTCTATTTGATTTTCAATGGTATGTTCTAGAAGCTCAAAAAGTCTTTCTCCTAGAGTCAAGTTAAATCAAAATCAACAAAACTTATTTTTTGCGATTAGTTTCCTTAAAAAGTCACTAAATTGAAAGCAAACACCACTGTGCCACCTCATGTTGCATTGTGGAGCTACAAAAGATCTAAATTTGATGAAAATTGAGACTCTTAAGCCAACCAAATGGAGACGACCTCGGCAAGATAAAGCTTTCAACTTCACTGTTCTCTCAAAACATGAGCACACCAAATTGACGAGAGGAAACATGAGATGTACAACGAGCAAGTCCGGTCGAAAAATGTCACTATATCTGACTATATCTCCTCGCCTGTATTTCAAGTCGACTCAAGACACGAATCAAGAGCAATTTGCGAAGCGGCCAGATGCCTTCGTAAACACGAAGCAAAATAGCGATAGATGTCGAATGATGTCGAATGATGTCAACGTGTTCTGACAGATAACCAGAGGCCAGGAATTGTTAGTGCACACATGCTGAATCCGCGAATTTCAGGACTTTCTAGTCATGCAAGCCTTGCAACGAAATGCGGGTAGGTCTTCCTGCAGAGACCTTCCAACGTGCTGGGCATTCTCACTTCGATGATGGACAGCAAATTTTCAATGTGCAGCAAGGTCTTGTCTCAAGACACACCCTCTTGCCACAGTGAAAGCTTGATTTCCATCTCGTGCAAGCAGTCAAATCATGGTTGTTCATGCTTGTTCCAAAAATTGGCAAATCGATTTGTCAGTGTCTTAATCATTTCCTCAGGCGACCACACACCCTCTCAAGAAATCTTAATCTAATGCTTTGAATGTCGACTTGGATGGCCGAAATGTTATTCAAGCGTGTGAGAAAATCACTGGAGGAAAGAGATGGCCGCAAGAACAGCAGGAAGATGTGCCTTGGTGAAAAGGAGCACTGACGTCAGTGACATTACTGACACATTCTGTTGCCAACTCGGTCTGCATTGGCTTTGTCCTTTGCTGCCCAAAGCAAGTCTTCTGAGGAATGCCTTTGATTTGTTCGCAGCAGTGCGGCGCAGGGGAGAGGACTGTAGCTGCGATTCTTGGAGCACTGCAGACTTACAACCGGATCGTCTCCATGATCAAAGGAAGTTTAGTTTGAAAACTTCCGAGTTACGGACTTCTTGTATGGTCATGGTTAGCATTCACACCATCATGTCAACCACATTATCATCAAGTAGTTGCCGAGCAGTTGGGAAGTGTAACAGTTTGGAAGCGTGTGAATTCACCTCTGAAAACACTCTCGGGCGCGAAAACCTGTGTTTTTTTTTGGGTAGTGTGGCTCTTGGGGCTGCCGAAGTAGGGTCTCTGTTTCCGCGGTTGCGGGCCTCGATCTCGGAAAGTCGTTGACAAAAAGTGCACAGGACTGTTGCGAGAGCGGGATTGGCATTTCAAACTGTTTAAAAAAGTGGCATGCCCGGAGCACTTTTAGAAGATGAGGTCTGCGAAATGCGCACCAGACTGCAGCGAGAGCTAGACTATACATAAAATTCGCTAAAAGCTGGCACGTTCGGAGGAACGCGGAACCGTTTCCATTGTCAGCGGTGGGCGGTCGTTGGTCGATTTGGTGTGACGCTCCTGCTATTCGGGCTTGTAACCGGCTGTGACGAAACGCATTGGCACGGCTGCGCGCACCAAAGCATAAGTGATGCTGCAACGCTCCTAGCAAGCGGGATTACAGCTGGACGTTGCGCGAAGAGAAGAATTGGGTTGCAGAAGCTACAAGAGAGCGAGCTGGGAGGCAGCTCAGAGCAGAAGTAGCCCAGATAAGTGCCTGCTCAGAGAAGAAGTAGCTGAGAGAAAGGGTGCCTCAGCGAAGAGGTCGCTCAGTCAAGAAGTAGCCCATCCGTCCATTCATTCATCCATCCATCCCTTCATTCAACTGGTTCATTGATTCATGGATTCATGGGCTCATGGTTGCACATTTTTGGGGTGGGGTGGGCTGGGGCTAATAACGCCATATGCTTTCCGTTCTCACACGGATGCTGCCCTAGTGTCCTTGATGCACCTCACAATTTAAATGCTCATGGTTTCTGTGTTTCAAAAACGTTCCTATAGGCCATCGGCATTTCCTTTTTTCGAAACTTCCGCCACTGGCAGGTGCCGGGCACTATCTGGTAATGGTATGACTTGATATGACAAAGAACGCCGGAGAATATGCATACATCACTTCCTTTATCGGCAGGGATGGACAACCAAAGACTAAGAAGCAGCAAAACATTCGAAAACAGACTTGGCGTGACGATGTTGAATTTGAAACAAGATCTTCAAAATCGCTGCGGAACCACATTTTCCGTGAGGAGTGGCAAAAATTGCCAGTTCTTGGCCTCATTTCTCTTTCAGCAGACCGAGATGAGGCGATAGCTGCAGGTGCGGCGGAAAGTCAGCGAAATTCCAGTGAGATAACGTGAGACGGTCAAAATCACATCAAACGTATCCAAATCCGTAAAGATCTGCTGTCGACATAAATCCATGTTCATCATTTTCCACCATTTTCTGTTCGCAGTCGCAGTCTTGAGTTCAGGAGCAGACTTTGTAGTTTGGAACCCAGTCTTGTCATGCAAAAGACTTTACCAGTTTTGGCCTTTCTTTGCACGGCAACGTCCCAGGAGTGGCAACCATACCATGTAACCCAAGGTATATGGGGACCGCTTGAGAGCACAACAGCAGATGTTGCGCCATCTGAGAAATAGACTCGGCCAAGCGAAAATTGAGTGTGTTTGATCCAGACATTGGGTGACACGGTGGCAAAACATTCGGAAACAAAATGCTACAACCAGATGCAGAGGCAGTCAAGATACACACTTTGTGTCGGTATGTTGGCGGCAGTTCAGAGTTCGAGTCCAGGCAGCCGGACCGGGGCAAGTAGTACAGCCGTTCTACAACCTAAATTGAATAGAAATCGAACAAGATCAAACAAGATCTTCGAAGAAAAAAATATATACATATATCAAGATAGATTTTGTGGATGCTGCGAGTCTGTGACCATGAATCTCTCCTTCCATTTTAGTCAAACTGTAGATGCAAATCCGAAAGGAGCAAGCCGGCACAGATTGGAATGATTAAACAACAGAGTTTTCCCTTTCACTTTTGTTAAAGCATGATATGCACACCAGACCAGCGAGTATGCCCAAAAGGGCAATAGAAAGACAAGGAGGAAACAGACAGAAGAACCCTGAGTGGCCTTTGTTGTTGGTTGTCCTACCAGTAGTTGCAAGTTTTCGAGCTGCATTGGAAACCATAGCAAATACATTTTGTCAGACATTTTGCACTTGGAGTGCAACCATGCCATGGCCACAGCAAGAACTCTCAGCGAGGCTGGGAGATGAAGGAAATTAGTCAGCTGAAGAGTCAGGACGGCTTAGTTTTCTTTGAATAAGGACAACGATTGTTCTGTGATTTTGAAATGAATACATTGCACTGTGTTCGACTGTGTTTTGTAATTATTGTAATTGAAGACTTCATTCAACTTGTAAATTTCAAAAAATCTAATCTTTTGCAGTCCAGGCTTGGACGGTAGATGCCCGCCACGTGGGTTGCTTTACAGGTGGCAAGGCATGGCCCTCACAGAGCGCCGGTTGGTTGTCAACGGGCATCGGTTGATCTTTTAGTTTTACAAAGAGGTACAAAGATCTCGAAAGATCTCGAAAGATCTCAAAAGATCTCAAAAGATCTCAAAAGATCTCAAAAGATCTCAAAAGATCAAAGATGGTAAGATATAGTGAAAGTCCGTGAAAGATATCTCTGCTTGTATTTTGCGTTTCAAAGCGCTGAATTGTTGAACTTCAGAGGTCGCCCCTTGCGAGTCTGCGAACTTGCTGGGCTGCCCTGCTGGCCTGGTTCAAAGCTGCGCTTCTGTCCTCAAGCACAGACTGATTCAATTTTGCATCATGCAGATTTTACATACAAGAGTTTGGATGTCCTCAGCAAAGTGGCTTGGAGCAGAACTGCCACGATGAATGATCCAAATGAATGTATCAAGCATAGTTGCGATGCATAGCTTCGATAGTACTGGTGAAGGCCACACAAGAGTTATCAAGAAATCAAGAGTTCCTTCTTGAACATGCCAGGACAACTACTCTAACACACACAGAAGCGAATGTCGCTGATGCCTACCAACACCTTTCATTCCCACGCAAGCTCAAATGATGTGGGGTTTCAGAAGTTCGTGATAGCTAGTCCCAATGTGAGTGAGTCATACAGTAATACAGTGCTTATCGCATCTACTCGCAATGTTATCGTCAACCACTACAGTCCAGATGGCGGTAGCACCCAGTAGCTCTGAAAGGAAGTTGAAACTGCAATGCAGCAGTGCTTTCTCTGAAATAAACTTTGGTTCATGGACAAAAGTTACATCATGTTACATCGAAGCTGCAATGGCAGGTCTTTGTGACGAAGAACTTCACTTGGTAGATGCTGGTTGCAAGGCGTATCTGCATTTCAAAGTCCTCAAGAGAGACCGGACTTTGTGTCGTGATTCTCTTTCGCTTTTTGAAATTGTTTCGGAAACCAGACTCTGCACCTCTACAGACCATCAATTTCCGTTTTTTTCTCCTCTTTTGGCCTCTTCAGAGGGTGGCTTTTTGCGGCAGGAGCCGACTCGGCGGGTAGTGCAGGAAGGTGATGGAGTGCTGACCTTCGCGATTGACCACTCCGGCCTCAATGCGTGCACGAGCCATAGGCAGGTTGGATCAGGTTAGATGCTTGGTGATGGACCGACATAAACTTTTTTAAACCTATACTGCCTACACTGTCATTGATATACACATAGTTCTACAGATACTTTTCACGTATGTGTATTTGGCTTGCTGGCGGTTGTGTCGTAGGATGCCCTGGTGCAGTGGATTCTTTTGTGCACTATTGTCGTTTCAACATTTTCTGATCTTTGCATGTCTCCTCAACCAAGATGACTGGTAATCCCAAAGCCGGCAAGTCTGCCCGAGGCTTTTTTTCTTTGTACAAAAAACATCAGAAGGAAATGTGTCGCTTAGCGACTGGAATACATGCATTCTACTAATTGGGTAAAAGTTTCCGCCATCAACGCAGTGTCGAAGTTTCGGAATAAAATCGCGCTCTCCGTTTGACAGTGAAGCAATCTGCAGAGGAAACTCACGAAGCACAAATACATTTTTCTTCATTGATTGTGGACGAACAAAGAATGGAAGCGTGGCAGCGTGACCAATACGGCCCTATAATGTTATATTGCTTGCATGGAGACAGAACATAGTGTATGTCTGTATATGTGTACGTGTACGTGTATACACATATGCATATGCTTACAAATAAAGATATGTGCATATAGATACATGTTCGAACAACTATATACAATTATATACATACATTGTAATTTATGATATCTACACATACATTATATATATATTATATAATATATATTAAATATTATATATAACATATATATTATATATATTATATAATATATATTAAATATTATATATAACATATATATTATATATATTATATAATATATATTAAATATTATATATAACATATATAATATATATAATATATAGTATATATATAATATTTAATATATGTAATTTATTTAATATATATAATAATATATATATATACATAGAATAAATAGATTCGTATATACACACATTTGCACAATTTAGCAGACTAGTCACTCAGCTAAACACACTCCCCTGAGTGATTCAAGTCTCGAACCCAGACAGCTGTAAGCTTGAAAGGCTCTGACTTTGCATGGAATCAAGGCGGTGGCTTGAACTCTTGAGCATGGTGGTGTCCAGTGTATCCCGACTTGTGTATGAGCATGTGTTTTGGATTTGGTCTTCGGTGTATCTCCCAGTTTGCAACACTGCAGCCACGGGGTTCTTGCTTCGGGTTGAATCAAGACGGTGGCTCTTTGGTACCGTGGGTGCTGTCAAGCTTGTCTCAGAGCTTGTGTCCCAATATGCTGTTTGTGTCCCCAAGCTTGATAGTTTGACGTGAGTACTGCCTCCTCTCCATTGCGAAGTCTTTGCGAAAAGGATAAAACTACGCAGCACCAGTTACTTTCAACCCTCTTTCGCGGCTTGAGTCTATGAAGGTGTATCTTTTTTGCAAGTAGTCATCTCCACCTGAACCCTTCCTTGCAACAAAACCAGAAGACCAGACACTTTGACAATGATACATTTTGCTTGATCTACCTACTTGATTCCACCTATCTATATATCTATCTATCCATCTATCTATCCCCTATCTACCTATCTATCTGTCTATTTATTTGTTTGTCTGTCTGTTTGTTTGTCTGTCTGTCTTTAAGAACTTTAAATGTATATATAGATATATTGTCAGTGGCACTTACCTTGCATGAAGCCACCGATTCTTTGTTTATTTATTTCAGCTTGAGTCCTGGAGTCTCCATTTTTGCCTGAAAGAAAGTCCTTAAAAGTTCGATCGACAAACAAGAGAGACATGAAACAACGACGAGTGATGCAGGAGCGGCTTGCTGCGTCACTTCACTTTGGGTGGGCAGCTGAACTCACGACCTGAGCCAATGAAAGCGCAAATTCTTGAACCAGACCAGATAAAAAATATATATATAACCTTATAGCCAAGTTGCTTTTTCTGGACATCTTCACCCGCAATTTCGCGACTCTTTTGGCTAGCGCTGCCAGGGCAGCTGCCAGCGCTGTTTTCAAAAAGTCTTTGGTTTTTTCATCTCCAAAGTTTTCATGAGTCATGAGGCGAGAAGATCACGCTGGTGAGGTCATGGAGGGGCCATGAGCAAGTGGCCTGACCGCACTTGATCAGTTGTGTAGATTGTGTAGATTTGCGGTTGCATATGCATCATATGCCTGTTTGCTTGATACTGATGATACTGATTGTGTATGCCTGTATTTTCGATGGAGCCCACACAGAGCTCACAGCGACATGTTCCCTGTCCAGGTTGTAGCAGATGTCAGTTTCGATGCCACTGGGTCCCTGGTCGCGACTGGGTCTGTTGACCGCACAGCGAAGGTGCGGACTTGACAGAGAATGGAATGACAGAGGGACAGGGAACGAAAGGCCAGTTATGGTCAGTTAAAGAGGAGCAACTTGAGTGAAACTTTTACCTGGCAAAAGCAGAAAGGAACAAAAGAACACAGAGTACTGTCCTGTGTCAAAGTCAACTCCTGCATTCCTAGAGGGTGTAGGACTATGTAGGACTATGTAGGACTATCAAGGACTGCCCTAGAAGAAAAGGCTTGGCAGTGCCAGGTGTGGGACTTCCATGGCTATTTCTGCACCCACAACTTCAAGGGCCACGCTGGAATTGTGTCTCTTGCGTGATGGCCTCAGAGCCTCTGGCATTCGAGGATCCTCTGCGTAAAGTGGTGCTCAAATTGACATGGTAAGAAGTATTAAGAAACTACATTCCAAAGCATTACAAAGCGCTGAAATGTCTTGGCTTCTCAGCTCTTTCAGCCCCACCGAGGCGGTTTCATCCAGCCAGACTTCAGCTGGTTACAATTGCAGACACTGAGGCAAATGGTCTCTGCAAGAAATTTGCTGCCGTTCTCCTTCTTTGGACATTTGTTTGAGAATCAAAGCATGTCCAAGCCTGCACAAGGACAGCAGCCAGTGAGTCTATTGGCTGTAGTGAATAGATGTTTCGATCCTGACTCAAGACGCGGACTTTGGTCGACTTGGTCCCACTTAGCTCGTTGCCAGGCTCGGCTTTGGGACCTGGAGTCTTCTGCATGCGTTGGTGTGATGAAGGAGAGCTGGGCTGCAACATGTTGAGGATTGATTTTGCTTCGATGACATGAGCATCCTGAGTTTGCTGAGTGCCTTTGAAGCTGCCCACAGAACCACTTGGCCAGCATCTCATCAATGTGTTTTGGTCTGGCCCCTGATTGTGCAATGCGAGAGATTTGGCTTGAACCGCAGGAGTCTTAAACGCATGGAATCAAGAATTGAAAGATTTGAAAGATTTGAAAGCAATGTCATGAGACTATATATCCAAAGCTGAATTGGCGCACGTAAGCCTTTGATCGGCGTCGCAGTGTAACATAGTGTAACCATGGAACTTTTGAGGCAGAGTGAAGACGCAACTGTTTGAGCTGGTGACTGGTGGCAGAGACCAGGCAGTGCTCCAATTGAAAAGCTGCCAGACAAGTACAGCGTAGTACAGCCACAACATGTCACAAAATGTCACAGCATTCAACTTGCAACGTAAAACATATCTCTGAGGACAAAGATTCTCCAGGAGTGGACTACTGTCGTTTGTCACTTGCAGTCAATCCACAAGGATTTTGGGAAGGGACCATGGCCCCAACCTGACTTTCCCGCGCAGATAGTCAATGTCTGGGACCTACAGGGCAAATGCTCTTTGGTGTGACTTGGCCTCGAAGAACTGCTACTGACTGCGCCCGATCTCCGAAGACATGCTTCGATTCTTTCGCTCTGTTCAAATGTGAACATCCATTGCACGATGCCTGGCTCTTCCAATGCTGGGGTTGATCTCTCCTTTAGACCCCAGGCGTTCCATACCAGTCTTTCTCTCAGATGGCTCATCACTGTAAAGATGTGACCAGTGCAAGAGCAGTACATCTTGCAATCTTAATGACAATACGTAACTGTATATAATTTAAGGGCTGCCGCCCCTGCCGCCGACCCCGGTAAAGAATCGGGGATTGCTGGTGAAACAGGCAAGCTGTGTGACGAGAAACTTTGGCAAATGCATTATCACAAGCAAGAAACCAGCAGCCAGACACCTTTTGTAAAACACAACCGAAACAGCAAAACACCACCTAATTTCGTGCCGAACATAACGCAAAATCAATCACAATAATAGGTTTTCGGGGGCCGAAACGTCCCTTCTGAAATCCTACTAGAAATCCAATTTTGTCCAATAGAAATCTAATTTTAGTCAAATTTGATTGATCGCCAATTTTGATTGCTGCTGCTACCTCTAATAAAGCAAGAAACCAGCAGCCAGACACCTTTTTTAAAACACAGCCGAAACAGCAAAACACCACCCAATTTCGTGCCGAACATGACGGAAAATCAATCACAATATTAGGTTTTCGGGGGCCGAAACGTCCCTTCTGAACTCCTACTAGAAATCCAATTTTGATCTCTAATTTTGACTGCTGCTGCTGCCTATAATAAAGCAAGAAACCAGCAGCCAGACACCTTTTTTAAAACACAGCCGAAACAGCAAAACACCACCTAATTTCCTGCCGAACATGACGCAAAATCAATCACAAGAATAGGTTTTCGGGGGCCGAAACGTCCCTTCTGAAATCCTACTAGAAATCCAACTTTGTCCAATAGAAATCTAATTTTGTCCAATTTGATCTCTAATTTTGATTGCTGCTACTGCCTCTAATAAAGTAAGAAACCAGCAGCCAGACACCTAATTTCGTGCCGAACATGACGCAAAATCAATCACAATAATATACCAATGTTTATAGTTTTCGACCAATTTTATACCACTGTTTGTTGCTGCTGTTGCCTCTAATAAAGCGAGAAACCAGCAGCCAGACACCTTTTTTAAAACACAGCCGAAACAGCAAAACACCACCCAATTTCGTGCCGAACATGACGGAAAATCAATCACAATATTAAGTTTTCGGGGGCCGAAACGTCCCTTCTGAAATCCTACTAGAAATCCAATTTTGTCCAATTTTGATCTCTAATTTTGACTGCTGCTGCTACCTATAATAAAGCAAGAAACCAGCAGCCAGACACCTTTTGTAAAACACAGCCGAAACAGCAAAACACCACCTAATTTCGTGCCGAACATAACGCAAAATCAATCACAATAATAGGTTTTCGGGGGCCGAAACGCTTCTGAAATCCTACTAGAAATCCAATTTTGTCCAAATCTAATTTTAGTCAAATTTGATCTCTAATTTTGATTGCTGCTGCTGCCTCTAATAAAGCAAGAACCAGCAGCCAGACACCTTTTTTAAAACACAGCCGAAACAGCAAAACACCACCCAATTTCGTGCCGAACATGACGGAAAATCAATCACAATATTAGGTTTTCGGGGGCCGAAACGTCCCTTCTGAAATCCTACTAGAAATCCAATTTTGTCAATAGAAATCTAAATCAAATTTGATCTCTAATTTTGATTGCTGCTGCTGCCTCTAATAAAGCGAGAAACCAGCAGCCAGACACCTTTTTTAAAACACAGCCGAAACAGCAAAACACCACCCAATTTCGTGCCGAACATGACGGAAAATCAATCACAATATTAAGTTTTCGGGGGCCGAAACGTCCCTTCTGAAATCCTACTAGAAATCCAATTTTGTCCAATTTTGATCTCTAATTTTGACTGCTGCTGCTACCTATAATAAAGCAAGAAACCAGCAGCCAGACACCTTTTGTAAAACACAGCCGAAACAGCAAAACACCACCTAATTTCGTGCCGAACATAACGCAAAATCAATCACAATAATAGGTTTTCGGGGGCCGAAACGTCCCTTCTGAAATCCTACTAGAAATCCAATTTTGTCCAATAGAAATCTAATTTTAGTCAAATTTGATTGATCGCTAATTTTGATTGCTGCTGCTACCTCTAATAAAGCAAGAAACCAGCAGCCAGACACCTTTTTTAAAACACAGCCGAAACAGCAAAACACCACCCAATTTCGTGCCGAACATGACGGAAAATCAATCACAATATTAGGTTTTCGGGGGCCGAAACGTCCCTTCTGAACTCCTACTAGAAATCCAATTTTGTCCAATTTTGATCTCTAATTTTGACTGCTGCTGCTGCCTATAATAAAGCAAGAAACCAGCAGCCAGACACCTTTTTTAAAACACAGCCGAAACAGCAAAACACCACCTAATTTCCTGCCGAACATGACGCAAAATCAATCACAAGAATAGGTTTTCGGGGGCCGAAACGTCCCTTCTGAAATCCTACTAGAAATCCAACTTTGTCCAATAGAAATCTAATTTTGTCCAATTTGATCTCTAATTTTGATTGCTGCTACTGCCTCTAATAAAGTAAGAAACCAGCAGCCAGACACCTAATTTCGTGCCGAACATGACGCAAAATCAATCACAATAATATACCAATGTTTATAGTTTTCGACCAATGTTTATACCACTGTTTGTGCAATGAGACATAGAACCCTCCTGTTGCTCCTGTTGCTGCTGCTGCTCATGGCCACCACTTGAAACGCTGAAACGCCACCTAATTTCGTGCCCAAAACGCTCCAAAATCGAGCCCAAAAAGTGCCTAACGTCCCTTCTGAAATCCTAGAAAAAAAAAGAACTGCCTTTGTGATGATAACCGTCTTGTCAAACACCTTCTATTTCCTCCTGCTGCTGCTGCTGCTCCTGCTCCTGTGACTCCTTCTGTTCAAAAGGCACCTGCCGGATGGGAAAACACCATGGCAGTAGTAGTAGTAGTAGTAGTAGTAGTAGTAGTAGTAGTCCGAAACAAGAGTCAAAAGTATTATTCCCTGGCACGCTCCCCCTTGCGTCTGCCGGGGTCGGCGGATATTGACTGCTGGCTACTGGCTGGGTGCTGCTGTCTTATTCCCTAACGCGCTCCCCCTTGCGCAGCCGGGGTCGGCGGATATATATATATATATATATACACACATACATATACATATACGTATATATATATATATATTATCTTGAAGTCTTGATCGCGGAAGCCACTCGGGAACGCTCATTGATTTTGCAAAACATGTCGCCAGTGTCGGAAGTGCATTGATTCGCCTGTCCCTTGGTGACCTTAGGTTTTCGAGAATGTTGAAGGTGTTATGACTGTGTGGGGTCCAAGCATGTTGAACTCTGGGACAGTCCTGCTTTGCAATGGGTATCACCTGGTACTGGGTCAAGACGGTCAGGGAACTCAGAAAACTGTGCATTGCAAACTGTCACGACATGTCACGACTAAGGTGCCTACAAGACACTTGCGTCAGCAATGTTTGAAGCCTTAGCCGCCTTAGCCTCCCAGAGTATTTGCGATGTTTACAGGTATCAGAGATTCAGGGTGACGTTGAATGGCTCGATACACGCGATGCATGGCCAAGTCGGTCAGGAGTTCGCGGCTGCGCTAAGGCAAGGAGCGAAGCGTCTTTCGTGGGGCTTTTGCTGACTGGATGCGACAGGAGCCACCAAGAGCGGCAACGATTTGGACATGTCTATTCATTCCTATTCGTTTCTATTCCATGATCTAGTCTCACACAGTCTCGGAGTGCGAGATTAAGCTGCAAGGTTTTGTGATAATGTTGACATTTTTGTTTTCAATTTTGCTGGCGAGGAGAAAGAGTGCGGAAACCCAGCAAAACTGAGGAAAATCTCTGTGGGAATCCGATTCAGACCATGATTGCACCGTTGTTTTGCACACTCCCTTGTCCAATCTTGTCCAAGAAGTTGAACCCATTGAACCAAGCTGTCTATGTCTTTTTCAAAGCGAATCACAGCACGTGTCAGTCCTGTCCTCTTCGCATCTCTTCGCATCTCTCCGCCATTTCTCCATTGATCCGTTGACACTGGTGAGACTTGGTGAGACTTGGTGAGACTCCGCGTCCACAGTGCAAGGCTTCCGGCCTTCATCATCTTCACTGTGGGTAACGGAGGCTTCTCAGCTCGTTGCCTTGCCTCCGGATCGGTAATCATAGATCAATTGAGTCATGTGAGGTAAACATGATATAATCGAAGGAAGTTTAGAAGTCAAACTTCCGACAATATGGACAGATGAAAAGCAGAGATGGGAAGAGTCAGAGAGAAGAGAAGAGTAGAAGAGAGAAGATCAGAGAAGAGAAAGAGTCAAAAGAAAGAAGATGCAGGTGCACAAAAAGGTAGGAAAGTCGCAAAACATTGTGTTTTTCCAATGATTTGTGGCTCCGGAGGGTCGAAAAGTAGGCTTGCTAAAGCGGTGGGTGCGGAGCCATCTGGCCAGATGAGAGATGAAAAATTGCACGCCGTTGTGGCGCGAAGCACATTTCCAAGTCAAAATGTACAAAGCACCAGATGTTCGGACCACTTTTGGAAGTTGCGCGGTTGAAAAAGTGCACGCCGTTGTGGCGCGAAGCACGTTTCGAAGTCAATATATGCGAAACACTTCAGCTTCGGAGCACTTTTAAAAGTTGCGATGTGGACAAAGTGCACGACGTTGTGTCGCGAAGCACATTTCGAAGTCAAAATGTACAAAACACACCATGCTCGGACCACTTTTGGAAGTTGCGATGTCGAAAAAGTGCACGCGGTTGTGGCGCGAAGCACATTTCGAAGTCAAAATGTTAAAAGCACCAGGGGTTCGGACCACTTTTGGACGTTCAGATGTCGTTTCGCGTGGCAGGCGCAAGGGGTGCATTTCAAAAAACGATGGCAGGCGTGGGGCATGTGCAGAGGATCTGGCAAGATGCATTTTCCGTGGCAGGCGCAGTACAAGAGACATGTTCATTGTTCCGAGGTCAGGGCGCTGATGTCCTGAGAAGGGTTGCATCTTGGAGCATCAGATCTTCAGGTTTGCTGAGATGATTTTGCGTAGCAGGTGCAGCACTTCGTATGACCTGGCATCACTTTTCCTTGGCAGGCGCAGTAGTTTAGACAGATGGATGGGAGAAATCGCAAAACGCATTGGCACAAGGCCGTCAGCTCTGCACTCAGCTTTCCATTTTTGAAGGAAGTCTCGCAGAATTGCTTCGTTTTTGATGTTGTCAACTTTGGAAAATGAAGAAGTCTCGCAGAATTGCTTCGTTTTTGACGTTGCCAAGTTCAAACATTGAGGAAGTCTCAGGGAATTGCTTCTTTTTTGATGTTGCCAACTTTGAAAAATGAAGAAGTCTCGCAGAATTGCATCGTTTTTGACGTTGTCAAGTTCAAACATTGAGGAAGTCTCGCCGAATATGTTGTCAACTTTGAAAAATGAAGGAGTCTCGCAGAATAGCTGGTTTTCAAGCTTGCGGAAAGACAGGTAGATAGATAGACAGACAGAGAGAGAGAGATCGATAGATCGATAGATAGATAGATAGGTAGATAGGTAGATAGGTAGATAGGTAGATAGGTAGATAGGTAGATAGATAGATACATAGTTAGATAGACAGGTGAGATAGATAGATAGCTCGCTAGATAGATAGATAGACAGATAGACAGACAGACAGATAGACAGACAGACAGACAGACAGAGAGAGAGAGAGATAGATGAATACACAGATAGATAGGTGGGTAGGTAGGTAGATAGTCAGAGAAAGAGACAGAAAGAGAGAGAAAGAGAAGAGACCTCAAGCACCTGTCGGTCCATCAGTGGCTTCGCTCTGCCATCTGTGATTCACAACAACTAACCTCTCCTATAGGTTTCCTATTTTTGAAACTTCCGCCACCGCCTTGTGCGGTACTACTGGTACGATGTTTAGATGGAATCTAGATTCTATCGGATCCTATGGACTACTGTATGTTACTGTAAGATATTGATTGCAGTGTAACAGTGTAACTAGGTTCACATTACTCCTGCATTTCCCAGTTCCCAGTACCACGAAGTTTTACCCAAGTTCCCAACCTGGGAGGTTTGATCAGAGCCTGGAATCCGCTGGATGGAAAATCTGTAGCCAGCCACGTCTGCCGCTGAGCACGGGGATGTCATGAGAAGTCTGCGAAGAAAACCTTCAGCTTAGGAGCTTGTTAGAGACTCTTCAAAATCTTCAAATTCTACAACGTTTTCCAAAGCTTTGCAAGCGTGGCGCACAGATAGACCCTGCCGAAAAGGACACCCTTCCCCACAAATGCTTCGTGAATCCAAGCTTGAACGCTCTGGCAGCAAGACCACGGGCAACGAATTTGACTAGTTGCGGTTGTGACCACTTTGCTGATCTCGCAGGCATCGCCGCATGCTGCAAAAGGTGAACTGCGGCAAATACATTGCCAGCAGCCCAGCCCCAGCCTGCAGCGGCAGAAATCGATCAACATCTGCGGCAGTTCAAATCTGCGTGGCATTTCGATGCCTTACATGTGGTAGAGACTCTATATGACCCATCAGATCGCAGGAGAGTCTCTTCGTTACAATTATCTCACAATTTGTTGCAGTTGCGGTAACATTGCATGATATGCAATGCATATGCCTTTGTCGTGTTTTTTCGTCAGTTTCTAGGATTCGTTTCAGAGGCAGTTGGCACATTGGGGGTGATTGCCAAGCCAAGGCTTGGATACTGCGAAGGGGACCAAGATGGTCACCATCGGTGAGGTGCGACCGCACAACAATTGCTACACTTTGACCGATGCTTTCAGTGCTTTCACCATCAATTCCATCCATTCCCTGTTGCAAGCTTGAATTGGGCACAACCTTGTCCTCTGCTGAGATCGATCAATTCCCATAGCTTCATGCAGGTGCTTTCAGTGTTTCCCACACATCTCTTTTCATTCCTCATGTGCTGTCTGCAAGTTGCGCTTTGGGAAGGACTTGAACTTCATGATGTGGTCACTTCCCGAATTCGAAGTCTTCAGTCACATCATGGGCCAGATACCTAATGTTTCAGCATGTGTGTTTGTGCCACTTTTGCTTCGTCAAGCGTTCGAAGTTTATTTGTGTTTTTTTGCTGCCTGCTCCTGTTTGCTGTTTGCTTTGCTGTTTGCTCGTGTTTGCCTGAGCAAGAACCTTGAGTCCCGACGCCGAGAGCTGCATGACCGTGGTCTCTCGACCTCTAAGGGCACAATGACGAGATAGTGCACGTCCAACTCATCCCACAGATCACCTGGTTGTGAACTTAGCAAGATGCTGAACATGTTGCCCAACATCTTGCCCAAGATGTTGTCCAAGATCTTGCAAAAGATTCATGTCAAGTGACTTGAGTTTGTGTGGTCCCTGAAGACTCTAAAACAGATGCTTCTTTATCGTTTATGTTTTCATGGAGGCCTCAAGAAATGGATGACGAGGCAGATGCTCCCGCGGGAGGGTCTGAAACTCAGTGAAAGGTTGTCAAGTCAGATGCAAATTGAAGCCAGAAAACAAGTGTGAGGAAATAGAAGGCACCAGCATACCCCAGCATATCCAAGCACCTAGCAATTTCTGATGGAAAAGCAGCACGAGCAACCGAGAGCCCCGAAAGCTCAATGTATGATGACCCCTGTCCTAAAGGTTGATAAGCGGTTACTGTAATTGCTGTTAGTTGGGGTTCATTTAAGATCTATCAGCCAGAGCTTTGTTAAAGCTTTAGTTGAGCGTCAGGAGATGTGACTAAGACGGTTTTAGACCTCTACTAAGGCCTTTGATCACTGCTGACCGCTTTGTTTGCATTGCTAACGACGAGCACCCAAGGCCGAGACACTTCAGCACTCAAGTGAAAGTCACTGTAGCTGTAGCAAGCCAGAGAGACCATTTGTCTAGGTGCAAGAGACAGGAACTAGTGCCGTAGTTTTGTTCCTTGTTTGGTTCGCTCTTACACAATTCAACAATTCGACACAGAAAGCCTCCAATGCAACAGAAAGGCAGGTTGCAGTCCCTCGATGTCACTTTGACGTTCCTGCCCTTACCCCCACTTTATGGCTTCCTTTGACATTTGATGTTGCAGTGTTCTGAGTTGTTTTTCATCCTTTCAAATCAAGCACTAGCAACCAGACAGGGTGGTGAGCTGCGAGGGATTTGGAGCAGCCATGCGTTGTTCTCAGCTAGCAAAGAACAGAGACGAACAGAATGTAGTGAGGTGCTGTATGTTTTATACAGTAGTTTCTTGGGTTTTATAGGTTTTGCACGGGGTACCTACGATAGTTCGTTGTAGGATGTTGCAGGTAAGTTTAGATTTTGGCACTTTGAGTCTGAGCATCGAGGTCAAATGAGTTTGCCAGCTTGGAAAGTTGTGTTCCTTGAGAATCTTGAGATGATTTGTGTGCTGCTGTGATCATTTGAGGCTAAGAGGTCACACTGACGTGGTGATCTCCTGCGACGTATCAGTGGATGGTTCTTGGATCGCCACGGGTGGTCAGGTTCTCAGGGGGACTCAAGAACAGGATGGCATACAGCAAGGGGGCTGCACGAAATGCCGATCAAGATGACCCAAGGAAGACTAGGAATATCAGATGTCAATGCTCTTGCAGAATGGCAAATGAGATCGCACTATCATGGAAGAGAAAGTATACAAGTAGTACCCGGGCAAGCCCGGGGCGGAAGTTTCAAATTTGAAACGCTTATAGCCTATAGAGCGGAACAAAGACTGTGCCTATAGGTGACAGGCAAGCCTCCTGTGCATCGCAGCAACAAGCTCTTGACTTGTCAATCTGGTGCCATGTCCTTCGAATGTTGAATCTTTTCTCATTTCATCTGATCTCATCGCATCGCAGCTTCTCTTGGAAATTGCTCATTGCATCCCTCTGTCACCGTCATCCCATCTCATCTCAGCTCATCTGATGTCTTCTGAGTTTTTTCACCTCATCTCATCTCATCCCATCTGATGTCTTCTCTCCCTTTCTCAACTCTTCTCAGCTGATCACAACTGTTCTCATCTCTTCTCATGTCACCTGACCTTTTCTCATCTCATCTCAGCTTATCTCAGCTTTTCAGATTTTCACAGCTCTTCTCAACTCTTCTCAGCTCTCCGCAGCTCATGTAAGCTTATCTTATGTGTTCTCATCTCTTCTCTCCTCTTCTCACATCTACTCAGCTGATCTCAGCTCTTGTCAGCTCGTCTCACCTCATCTCAGCTCTTCTCAGCGCACTCTCAAATCATATCACCTTTTCTCTGGCCCAAAACCTGCTCCAAAAACAGTTCTCGGCGCCAAAGCAAGCAACCCCTACGCTTTCCACAGAGAAGATTTGACACAGAGAAGCTTTTACACATGGCAAGCTTTTGCACAGAGAAGCTTGTACACGCAGAAGCTTTTGCACAGAGTTAGGGAAGCTTTTATTCACAGCAAGCTTTTACACAAAGCAAGCGTTTGTACACAGCAAGCTTTTACCCAGAAAATCTTTTGCACACGGAAGCTTTTACACAGAAGCCTTTACACAGAGAAGCTTCTACACACAGCAAGCTTTGACACAAAGAAGCTCCTGCACAGAAAAGCTTTTACACACAGAAAGCTTTTACACAAAGAAGCATTTAGCTTTTACACACAGAAGCCTTTACACAGCTTTTACACACAGCGAGCCTTCACGCAGAGAAGCCGCTACACAGAAAAGCTTTTAGACAGAGAAGCTTTTACACACAGAAAGCTTTTACACACAGAAGCTTTCACACAAAGAAGCCTTTACACAGCTTTTACACGCAGCAAGCCTTCACGCAGAGAGCTTTTACACACAGAAAGCTTTTACACACAGCAAACTTTTCCACACAGAAACTTTTACACACAGCAAGCTTTAACACAGAGAAGCCCTGTCACAGAGAAGCATTTACACAGAGAGGCTTTTACACACAGAAGCCTTTACATACAGAAGCTTTCGCGCACAGCCAGCTTTTACACACAGAGCAATCTTTTACACAGAGAAGCCCTTACACAGAGAAGCTTTTACACAGAGAACTTTTACACACAGCAAACTTTTACACACAGAAGCTTTTACACAGAGAAGCTTTTACACACAGAAGTTTTTACACACAGCAACCTTTCACACACAGCCCTTTTACACAGAAAAGCTTTTGCACACAGACAGCTTTCACACAGAGAAGCCCTAACACAGAGAAGCATTTACACAGAGGAGTTTTTACACACAGAAGCCGTTACATACAGAAGCTTTCACACACAGCGAGCTTTCACACAGACAGCTTTTACACAGAGCAGGCTTTCAACAAAGAAGCCCGTACACAGAGAAGCTTTTACACAGAGAACTTTTACACACAGCAAACTTTTACATACAGAAGTTTTTACACACAGCCAACTTTTACAAAGAGAAGATTTTACACACAGCAAGCTTTTAAACTGAGAAAACATGCTGACAAATTACGATCGCAGCCTTGATGCAGCCACTCCAATACGATGTACGATGCCCAGCTGCAAAAGCCAATAGTATTACGCACGCAGCCGCGGCGCCAAGCAACCTTGACGCAGCCATTACAATGCGATTTGCAAAGACTGAGTTGCAAAGCAAAATAGAACTATGCGCAACGGCGTCAGAAATTGCAGCTCCAGAACCGGGATCTCGACGCCGAAGAAAAAAAGATTTTGAACACTTTTCAAAAATAATTTTAAATGGAAAATCACCAGCGACGAAAATCTGCTGACAAGTCACTATCGCAGCCTTGGTGCAGCCACTCCAATACAGTTTACGATGTCCAGCTGCAAAAGACAATAGTATTACGCGCGCAGCCGCAGCGCCAAGCAACCTTGACGCAGCCATTAATCACGATGCGATTTGCAAAGGCCGCGTTGCAAAACACAAGAACTACACGCAGCGGCGTCAGAAATGGCAGCCAAGAGCGGATCTCGACGCCAAAGCAAAACAATATGCAGCCCACGAACCCAAATGCAGTCACGTAGAACACTTTTGTGAAACAAGTTATTTGAACAGTCTACATTTTTCCACTGTTACCGTACCAGTGCGCTGTAGACTGTGGAATGCAGAAGAGGGTGCAGTGCAAAGTGTGGAGTGTTGGAGTGTAATGTGTGGAGTGCAAAGTGTGGAGTAAGGAGTGTAAAGTGTAACGTGTGGAGTGTAGAGTGTAGAGTGTAAAGTGTAGAGTGTAAAGTGTAGAGTGAAAAAGTGTAGAGTGTAGAGTGTGGAGTGTAAAGTGTGGGGTGTGGAGTGTAGACTGTAAAGTGCGGAGTGTAAAGTGTAAAGTGGGGAGTGTCGTGCGTAGAGTGTGGAGTGTAAAGTGTAAAGTGTGGAGTCTACAGTGTAAAGTGTTGGGAGCAAAGTGTAAACTGTGGAGTGTAGAGTGTGGAGTGTGGAGTGTAGAGTGTGGAGTGTAGAGTGTGGAGTGTGGAGTGTAAAGTGTGGAGCGTCGAGTGTAAAGTATGGAGTGTAAAGTGTGGAGTGTGGAGTGTAAACTGTGGAGTGTAAAGTGTGGGGTGTGGAGTGTAGACTGTAAAGTGCGGAGTGTAAAGTGTAAAGTGTGGAGTGTAAAGTGTAAAGTGTAAAGTGTGGAGTGTAGAGTGTAAAGTGTGGAGTGTGGAGTGTACAGTGTGGAGTGTGGAGTGTAAAGTGTGGAGTGTAAAGTGTGGAGTGTAAAGTGTTGAGTGTGGAGTGTAAAGTGTAAAGTGTAAAGTGTGGAGTGTACTGTAAAGTGTGGAGTGTGGAGTGTAGAGTGTGGAGTGTAAAGTGTGGAGTGTAAAGTGTGGAGCGTAAAGTGTTGAGTGAGGAGTTTAAAGTGTATAGTGTGGAGTGTAGAGTGTAGAGTGTAAAGTCTGCAGCTTTCCCCGTAGACATGGCGAGGCCACAGGAAACCAGAGACTCAAGACGAGACACGTGGGAGCATCAAAACGAGCATTTCGTGCGAGACTTGCTCCAATTTTCACAATTTGTATTTTCAAAATCGATGTTTTCCGACAAGTTTTCTTATGAACCTCTAAATTTGCAACCTCAAAATCGTTGTTTTGTGCGAGGCTTCCGTCAATTTTCATCGCATCTCACAAAATGCCACGCTTGCCACGGAATTTGCACCTTGTCGCCACTTGACGCAGCCCTGACAATGCGATTCGCACAAAACACGCAACACGATACGTCTAAAGTGCTGCGCCTGCCACGCAAAATGACGATGGGCACGTCCAAAGTGCTGTGCCTGCCACAAAAACTGTAACGCATCTTCTGAAAACGTCGCAAGAGTATTGCGCCTGCCACGCAAAAACGATTTTCGACACGTCGCAAAACACGCCTGAATGTCACGAAGTGCCACGCCTGCCACGGGAAACGAAGCAACGCGACATGTGAAACTTCCAAAAGTGACCCCTTTTTGCAGAACTTACCATAGGCACGGCCACAGCGACCTCACGCGGACGGTTGCGAACGGTTGCAAAGGGTTGCGGACGGTTGCGAACGGTTGCGGATGGTTGCGGACGGTAGCGAACATAAACGCAACGTCGAGCGAACACACCCTCAACCCCCAGACCCCCAGAGTGAAACGGGAACCCTTGCTACGCATTTGGGAAAAGACGATTTTGAAGCACTTTTTAAAAGGAATTTTTTAAACGAAAATCACCAGCGCCAAAATTGAGAAAATCTGCTGACAAATCACTATTGCAGCCTTGATGCAGCCACTCCAATACGATTTAGGATGTCCAGCTGCAAAAGACATAAGTATTACGCACGCAGCCGCGGTGCCAAGCAACCTTGACGCAGCCATTAATCACGATGCGATTTGCAAAGACTGCGTTGCAAAACACAAGAACTACACGCAGCGGCGTCAGAAATTGCAGCTCCAAAACCGGATCTCGACGACAAAGCAATAAAAGAAGATTTTGAAGCACTTTCTAAAAGGAAAATCGCAAGCGTCAAAATTGAGAAATTCTGCTGAAAAATCGCTATCACAGCCTTGATGCAGCCACTCCAATACGATGCACCATGTCCAGCTGCAAAAGACAAGAGTATTAGGCACGCAGCCGCGCCGCCAAGCAACCTTGATGCAGCCATTACAATGCGCGACTTCCCTCAAAATCTGAAGGTGGAAGATGTGAGAACGAAGCTTTCGCGCGAGACGTCCCTCAAAAAGTGGAAGTGGCAAATGTAAAAGCGAAGCTTTCGTGCGAGACTTCCTGCAAAATCTGAAAGTTGAAGATATGAAAACGAAGCTTTCGTGCGAGACCTCCCCCAAAAAGTGGCAATTGAAGATATCAAAGCGAAGCTTTCGTGCGAGACTTCCCTCCAAAAGTGAAAGTTGAAGATGTGAAAACGAAGCTTTCGTGCGAGACTTCCCTCAAAATCTGAAGGTGGAAGATGTGAGAACGAAGCTTTCGTGCGAGATGTCCCTCAAAAAGTGGAAGTGGCAAATATAAAAGCGAAGCTTTCGTGCGAGACTTCCTGCAAAATCTGAAAGTTGAAGATATGAAAACGAAGCTTTCGCACGAGACCTCCCCCAAAAAGTGGCAATTGAAGATATCAAAACGAAGCTTTCGCCCTCAAAATCTGAAGGTGGAAGATGTGAGAACGAAGCTTTCGTGCGAGACGTCCCTCAAGAAGTGGAAGTGGCAAATGTAAAAACGAAGCTTTCGTGCGAGACTTCCTTCAAATTTTGAAAGTTCAAGGTGTGAAAATTAAGCCTGAACTGGCAGTTCCAGTGCGCGGCTGATCTGAGCATGATCCCGGTACAAACGAGCGTGTGCCGAAACCGTCCGCCGGACAAGCTTCCCCATCCATCTTCCCAGACGCGTTTTGTCCTGCAAAACATAGCATGTCGTGCGTCCGCTATCTCTCAAAAACGGATTCCGTGCGAGACTTCCCTCAAAATCTGAAAGTTGAAGATGCCAAAACGAAGCTTGGCTGTGAGATCTCTTGGCTGCTTGATCTCTTGGCTGTGAGGTCTCTTGGCTGTGAGATCTTTGGCTGTGAGATCTCTTGGCTGTGAGATCTTGGCTGTGAGATCTCTTGGCTGTGAGATCTCTTGGCTGAGAGATCCCTTGGCTGTGAGATCTCTTGGCTGTGAGATCTCTTGGCTGTTAGATCTTTTGGCTGTGAGATTTCTTGGCTGTGAGATCTCTTGGCTGTGAGATCTCTTGGCTGTGAGATCTCTTGGCTGTGAGATCTCTTAGGCTGTGAGATCTCTTGGCCGTGAGATCGCTTGGATGTGAGATCGCTTGGCTGTGAGATCTCTTGGCTGTGAGATCTCTTGGCTGTGAGATCTCTTGGCTTGATATCCCTTGGCTGTGAGATCGCTTGGCTGTGAGACCTCTTGGCTGTGAAATCTCGCGGCTGTGAGATCTCTTGGCTGTGAGATCTCTTGGCTGTGAGATCTCTTGGGCTGAGAGATCTCTTGGCTGTGGGATCTCTTGGCTGTGAGATCTCGTGGCTGTGAGATCTCTTGGCTGTGGGATCTTGGCTGTGAGATCTCTTGGCTGTGAGATCTCTTGGCTGAGAGATCCCTTGGCTGTGAGATCTCTTGGCTGTGAGATCTCTTGGCAGTTGTAAATAGGTTTTTCAAAATCCGTAACTCGGAAAGTGATGAGTAAATAGGTTCATTTCAAAATCCGTAACTCGGAAGTTAGACCTTCAAACTTCCTTTGATGAGTATAAAATAAAGATTGAATAAAGCCATTTCATTTCAAAATGGTACAAAATTGGTAGACAAATAGCAAACAAGTCGCAGAGACGGACAGGGATGGCAAAGTCTCATTTTGGACCTTGGGCATTGCATGTTAAAAGAGCGAACAAAAGAAGGAAAGGTTTGCAAAAATTGGACCCTGAGAGAAACAGAAGGTCACGTTTGATCAGCGATGATGACTGATTTCATCCTTAAGGAAAAGACCAGGTCATCAAAGTGTGGAGCGCTTCCACATGCGAACTGGCCAAATCCTTAGCCCAATCTTGCAGTGACATGGCGGGCGAGCAGAAACAAAAGAGACAGAGTGGTATACAGTGGGAAACGCAAACCATTCACATTGCCAAAGGCATTGTGTTCATTGTCCAAGCTGTGTCACAAGAACATTTAATCAAATTTATGTCACATTCGTGCACTGGTGGATTTGTCAGTTACAGCATGCTTTTCGGGACAAGGCCTGTACCTGCTCCGGGCACGCTGGGGATGTGCGGCTTCCTCAGGCAAGGTGCAGCCTAGACCTTTCGGAGGCTGGTTCAGCCGCAGATCAGAAAGGATTGACTTTGAGCGACGGGAAAGAAGATGAAAGAAGGATATCTTTCTACATTCCAGATTGAAAGGGCCAATTTGGTAGCAACAACCATCAACGATCAACAACCACCACTCCAGAAAGTGAGCCACACCACATGCAAAGCTATGCAAAACTAGAGATAGACTGAGGACAGCTTTGTCTTTTTCAAAGCGTCGCCCTCGAACAGCCGGTGCCTTAAGGGATGAGATGGACCCCTCTCAGCCGTCCGCAATTCTGATTTTGGTCTTGTATCGATTTGGATCGTGTATTTTCTCTACGGTCCAATGTCTTGCATTTTGAACTATAAAGTTTGGCAGCTGAAGTTTTGTCCTGAGATCCGCGCTGCATCTCAGCAAGAGCAACTGTCAATGACTCTTGTGAGCGCAAGTGCCGGCCTTGGCGGGAGCTCCACCACAAGGAGTAACAACAGATCAACAGACCGTCAACAGGCAGTCAGCAGGCGGCCAACAGGGGGTCATTAACAATATAATTATCATCCGGTCATTTACCATGTCTACCCCTGGAATTGTCAGTTGTCAGACCATTTTGCATACTCTTGCCATTACGGATGTGCACAAAACCTCACAGGCCCCTGTTAAACTGAATTGATCGAAGGAAGTTTAGAAGTCAAACCTCCGAAAATATGGACAGACGAAAAGCAAAGATGGGAAGAGTCAGAGAAGAGAAGAGAAGAGACGAGACGAGACGAGACGAGAAGAGAAGAGAAGAGAAGAGACGAGAAGAGAAGAGAAGAGAAGAGAAGAAGAAAGAAGATCAAAGAAGAGAAAGTCAGAAGAAAGAAGATGAAGGTGCGCGAAAAGGTTTTCCAATGATTTGTGGCTCCGGAGGGTCGAAAAGTAGGCTCGCTAAAGCGGCGGGTGCAGAGCCATCTGGCCAGATGAGAGATGAACAAATTCACGCCGTTGTGGCGCGAAGCACATTTCGAAGTCAATATGTACAAAACACACCATGTTCGGACCACTTTTGGAAGTTGAGATGTCGAAAAAGGGCACGCCGTTGTGGCCCGAAGCACATTTGCAAGTGAAAAAGCTAAAACACAACGTTCGGAGCACTTTTGGAAGTTGAGATGTCCAAAAAGGGCATGCTGTTGTGGCGCGAAGCACATTTCGAAGTCAAAATGCACAAAACACTCCAGCTCCGGAGCATTTTTGGAAGTTGACATGTTCAAAAAGTGCACGGCGCTGTGGCGCGAAGGTTGTGGCACGAAGCACATGTCGAAGTCAAAAGTGTAAAAAACTGACGGGTTCGGAGCACTTTTTGACGTTCAGATGTCGTTTTGCGTGGCAAGCGCAAGGGATTCTGCACGTTGCCAAAAGTGAGGAAAACGTGAGGGTTTTGTGGCATTATCAACTACAACCACTACACTACATTACACTACATTACACTATACTACACTCCACTACACTAGAGTACAACTAAAAACTACAACTACACCTACGCTACATTCCACTACACTACACTACATTACATTTCACTACGCTACGCTCCACTACACTACACGACACGTCACTACACGACACTACACAAATTACAACGACTACAAGTACAATTATGCTACATTACACTACGCTACGCTGCACTACACTAATTTCACTACATTCCATTCCACTCCGCTCCACTCCACTCCACTCCACTCCACTCCACTACACTACACTACACTGAATGACACTACACTACACTACACTACACTACACTACACTACACTACACCTACAACTGTAACTACAGCTACAACTACATTACATTGCAATGCACTACGCTACATTACAGTACATTACACTAACTACAACTACAGCTAAAACGACAACTATAACTACAACTACACTACATAAGACTACACTACACTGCCCTAATTACATTACATTACGCTACACTACACCCCACTACACTGCACTACACTACACCTCACTACACTACACTCAATTACGCTACACTACCCTACACCACCCCACACCACACCACGCTACGCTACGCTACGCTACACTACACTACACCACACCACTACACTACACTCCACCACATTACATTACATTACATTACATTGCATTACATTACATTACACTACATTACATCACATCACATTACACTACACTGCACTCCACTCCACTCCACTCCACTCCACTCCACTCCACTCATTACGCCACCACACATGCAACTGCAATTACACTACACTAATTCCACTACACCACAACTACAACTCCACTACACTACAACTACACCTACAGCTGCACTACACCACGCTACATCCAGCAGTTGTGGGTGATGTGACCGACCAGGTGACCACTGCAACCATTGCAACCACTCCAAAAAACATACCTCCAACCTCCTTTCGGTCCATCAGTGGATTCGCTCTGCCATCCGTGATTCACAACAACCAACCTCTCCTATAGGTTTCCTATTTTTGAAACTTCCGCCACCGCCTTGTGCGGCACTGCTGGTACTTAGAAATATTCGGCAATGTTTAAGAGTCACAAAACAGACTCGCGCAATCTGACAGCATCATTTGACGACCAGTGCGTAGCTTTATTCACTATTTGAAGGATACAGCCTTGAGAGCTGAGAACTGAGGCCAAGACAAGACCATGAAAGTTTGGGAGATCCCGAGTGCACTGGTCTTAGCTGCAAGTCAATAGTCATGGATGTCAGACCAACTGTTGGACAGGTGTGCTGCTATGTCGTGTGCCACATGTGCACTGAGTGAGACCTGCCTTGGGTTCATTTTGACTGTGATTCAAGCTGTTTGCCCAGACGTTGGTGAAACTTTGCTGGGCCTAGGCCAAAGAGCTCGAGAAGGCGCGCGACCGTGAGCGAGATATGAGCGGCTGTCGATTGATGAGTCTAGGAGGTTGTACTATCATATCCAGTTTATTGGCAATTATCATCGTCCATTTAACCAACCTGTACAATTGAATCGTAGAGGGTTTTGAACGCTACTCACCTGAACTTGACAGTGATTCCAGTGCAGGAACAAAATTAATCAAAAAAACAGATACAGTATTATCAAAATGAATGCCATACCGTACCATGATACAAACTTGTCACTAGCTGATACGCAGCTACTCAGCTGATCTCAGCTGTACATCACACGAGTCGGCAACCTCCAATCTAGAGACGAAATGACACAAATGCAGCCCGGGCTTTTGCGACATTCTAGATGTAATGTTGATGATGTTAATGAACCAATCGGGATATCATTTTTTTGCAATACTGTGTCATAAAGCATAGGGTGCACTGTGGTCAGTTTACAGGCTATCTTGGTTTGAATTCGCTCGAATCTTGGGTACTACATGGTACTACAGTAGTAGCTTAGAGAATCTTAGAGATATACAGAGTGCTTTGTGAGCTCTGTGAAGGTGATCAGGTTTCGAGACCTTCGACATTGGGTTTGACATATTTTTGTTCCTGCAGAATTTTGACTTTGATATCAAGGGTTGCAAAATACCCAAAAGTATTACATCAAAACATAGAACAGTAAAGGATAGTCAAGGAAAGTGCAGAAGGGCACAGAACAAAGGCATTTGCAAAATATCTATCCTGGAATACAAAGTCAGAAAAAACATGTCAAGGCTTGCCCTTGGACTTTCCTTCCATCATATCGCAATGGACTCTGATGTACCCAGTGTACCCCATCCCTAAAACCTCTTGTAGATAGAAAGAAGGGGCCCTATGGTTTGGCAAACTGCGCGGGGGCTCTACGTACCCAAACAGCCAAGCAGTTCATGTTTCACGATCAGGTTCTGGGTCCTGGTTCGACCGTAAAGAAGTCCAAAGTGACTGTCGGCAACTGAGAAGAGTGCAAATGCGCGGTCCAAGTGTTACTGCTTTGACAGGGGCACAGCCGGGCACAACCCTCATCAATGCTGGCTGATTTGGCTGCTTTGTACTGAGGTCATTGCGCATTCAAAGGAAGTGAACGATGTCATGGGCCCAGCGGCTGCAAGGCACTGCAAGGCTGCTGTAGGATGCGGTGAAGAGGTGCAAAAGGTTGGATACAATAGCCCCAGGTTTTGGCAAGCAAAGGCTGTGAAATGTGCACCCGGAAGTGAAGAATCACAAAGGACATTCTACCAGGCCATAATTTATCATGGACAACAATATGTACATATGATGTATATGGGGCTGTATATGGTGTATAAGTTGTAATTCAGTGTAATTACTACGCAATTTTGTGAGTTGTGCGGAAAAGCAAGGCTCTTTTTGGCCAAGGTGCTGGTCTCGCCAAACAACAAGCTCATCGCATCAGGGGGTCAGGATGGGCTGAGCAATATTGAGCACTGGCAACATGGCTTAGCCCACCACCAACCTCAGCTAAACCCCAATACACTGAACAGCATCAGTTTCTCAGGAGAATATGCATGTATGCGGATGATCAATGTCATTCAACCATGCAGTGATCTCTTTTTGCTCATTTACTTTACTTGTATCGCAGAGGACAAGCTACTCCGAATTTGGAAGTTTCCGGAAGGTGATCTTCTGGGAGAGTGTGCCCAGACTGGGAAAAGTATGCATGTTGCCTTCCGGCAGCCCCTGGCACTTGGTGCCTGTGCTCTAGTCGCTCACGCTTTTTGTTGTGTTTTCATGTTAGTGTCGCCGTTCTACGCCATTCTTGGTTTGGCCTGATCATTTGCTTACATTTGCTTACATTTGCTTTTCAATGTTTGCCGGAAGCATTTGACGCTTTTGATGCTCTTGGTGGCTAAGGCAAAGGCCATCGACGAGGCATTTGGTGCGTTGCTTTCTCTCCCATCGACCAAGTTGTGGCATCTGCATCTGGCATGGGTCTCAAGATGTGAGTGGAAAGACCTTCAAACAAAGCCACGGCACAGATATGTCACACCAACAGCAGAAACAACTTGAAGAAACTTGAAGCAAACAGTAAAGCAGAAATTCTGCAGAAGTGATTAGAACATATTGCATAAATTAAGACTTTGCTGGAGAAACGGCCAAGAGACTTTTGACCAAAGCTTTGTGGCTCAATTCTGGAAAAGGTCCCTGCGCTTGATCATGCTACCTCGCAGCACCACATGTTGGGGTCCGTCTGAAAGCAGTCTCAAACGAGATAGCTTCAATGACCTTATCCGTCACAAGACCATCAAGAAAACCAACGTCCCTCTCCTCCTGATGAAGGCCAATGTAATGGGCAGAACAGCAATGCTTTCGTTTCCAGCAGTGGGCGACTACACTCACACAACAAAGGGACTTTCAAAGGGACCAAAGGGACTTTCCGACGCCAAAAGCTGGAAACCGTCAGCCTCCTTCCGCTCCTTCAGATCCACCAGTTTGTCAAGCATTGGGATGAAGTCTTTGCGCTTCTCCACCAGTAGTCAAGATGGCCTTGGCTCCATTCGTCAAGGAACGCCTGTGACTGAACAGCGGAAAGGAAGTGCCGCAGGAACAGCTCGGTATGGCTACATGCCACCTGAAGCTGGGCGTATCGACCGGAAAGAGGTGAAGCTTTCCAGATGGCTACAGAGCCAAGTTGATGACCTCTATCGAAAGATGGATGAAAATGCGGATGGGCGACTCACAAAGTTGGAGGCCCAACATTTCTTCCAAAAGTTTGGGAAGATCAGCAGTTCTGCAATGTTTTCTGAAGTTGATGAGAATGGAGATGGTGAAATCCTCCCTTCCGAATGGCGAAACTTTTGGGAGCAAGTCCGTGGAAATGGGTATAGTGAGGAAGACATTTCAGAAGAGCTGCAGCAGTTGATGTGCGGTGGTGTTTGGGTTGATTTCCTAGATGATCGCACCGTGTCGGTCAATTCGCGAAGTGCACCGAACGTAGAGAAGCTGTGTCAATAGTTGGTCCGCGAAGTGGAACAGCATGTTTAGTGCAGCAGATTGGCAGGACGTTTGCCATGTTTCAGTTAGGACTTCGAGGTAAAACAAAGAGCTTGGTTATTTCACGGTTAATTGCATCAGAGAAGCAGTAATCCGCTTGAGGTTTGTCCCCTGAGCGCTTTGACTTGAGCCGTTCCACGAAGGTGTCGACAGTGTCACTATCAAGTTGCCGAAGCCGTTGAAAGACCGGTGCTGTGTGGCTAAGGTGATGCAACCGTCAGACTTTGGAACTTGAAAGACTTTAGGCCAGGACCGCGAAGTCATTCAGATTTTTTGACCGGTGCTTCGTGTGTCTTCCTGTAGTCCTACACGAGATGCTGCATGTTATTTTGATTTTTGCTTGAGATTCGCTGACAAGATCGTGCACATGCATTGGCACACACACACACACGCGCAAATGTTTCTTCCGGTGCTGAAGCAACCTGCGCTTGGAGTTTATAGTTATTTAGCACCCTGCAGTCCCCCTCAGATACTAATCAAGACGATCAACCCATCAATGATCCATTGATATCCATTGATGACATTTCATTGCACCAGATAATATATATCAAAATATGATATGATACAAATCGACAATAATATAGTATATTAATGCATATTACTCCATATTATATATAAAAATAGAATATAATAATGATGTATACAGTATATATATATAAATCAATATTATATGTATATATACATTATATATATAGATACTTGTAATATGTGTGTGTATATATATATAGTTTGCAACGTAATTGCGCTCTGCAGACACGCCCTGGCCAGGGCAATTCGCTCTTTCCAGGGTCACAGCAGCGCAGTTCTCCGCGTCGCCTTTCTGCCCAATGGCATGCAATTGATGACCAGCAGTGTGGATGGTCTCCTGAAGCTTTGGCATATCAGGACGGAGACTCCGAGAATTTGGAGAGTCAAGATCTTGTGTCTTGCAAAAGTCCTGCGCAGCAAGATGTAGACGGATCATAACGTCAGAAGCAAGATACTGACACCTAAGAGCAGAAAGACGCACACGACCACAATAGTTTCTGCGATGGGTTGAAGCTTACTTGCCCATTCGTTTGAACTACCTTGACTCGGGTAGGACTGCTGAATGTGCTGGCACTTTTGAAGAGCACAGCAGCAAAGTGTGGTGTATCGATCTTTGTGGAAAACGCATGGTCTCTGGCGGTGCAGACTCCAAGATTTGTACTTTGGTCGCATGATGTGAGTCCCATAGTCAAACCAGTTGGGTCTGTTGAAATTGCTGGGGAGATGGGGAGCGCGGTGCTAAAAAACAGTCTCAAAGAAGCGAGCAAAACTTGCAGGGCAAAGCGCCAAAAGTTATATGTACACCAAGACCTCAAAATCCAAACGCAAGTGTTCTTAATTTGGACGTTAAATTACTGCGAGTGATCAAAGTTTTCTAGACACTACGACCACCACTTGAAGATACTTGAAGATTGAGCCAGTTGTCGCTGAGGCGTTTGGAGAGATACTACAGAAGAGATGGAGAAGCAGCGTGTGCTGCCGAGTTTGCCTCGACACTCTTTGATTATTTTGGTTTGGACTTCAGACTCTTCAGACTCTTCACAATCAGAAGCTTCTCGCATCCGTCCTTTGTTGCATTGGCAATCCCTCGCCAGGCCAAGATGAAAAGGCAGATCTGGCTCTGAAGGACATCAGTCAGTAGTTGACAAGTCAAGCAGAGGAAGAAACAAAACCTTTAGCTGAGCATATCATGAGACCTGCACAGGTAGAATAGTCATCCCTGGGTTGTGACCTCGTATGGTGTGTTTGCAATCCTTCTTAGTGGCAACTATTGCAGCCATACAGCATTCTGGGAAGGACTCTCGGATAGCGATGTTGGTTCGCGAGGGCAAGGCCTACAAAGCAATCAAGACAGACATGTTGCTTGTCGCCCACCAGGACCAGCCAGCCAGATCAATCTCAGATTTGTGTATCAAGATTGATGCCTGTGTTGCCTTCGTTGCCTGTGTTTTGGATCAAGATTGATAAATCGTGTTGCAAAATGTGTTGATAAGCTTTGTCCGTTTCAGTGCTGGTCGAGTTCGCGCTGACAGGTGGAGGCTGCTTTGACTTTGGCCGGGATTTTAGTCGCCGAGTCTCATTTGGGTATGTCAAAGAACAGTCTTTTTCGTAGAAGGAACTTAGAGCTGTAGTGGCCCCTGTATTCTGGATGCGCCCATGGTTTTGATAGAGATGATTGAGATGATTGAGATGATTGACATGTTTCTCTTGTTGCGCCTAGTCCTGCTTTCTTCCGCGCCGAAGTTTCTGTCTCTGATATGTTTTTTGTTTAGAGTTACCGCACATCGGACATCGCACTTTTCCCCAAGGCTTTGGACCTGAAGCGACCGGGTCAGATGCGTCAAATCCTCCTAGATGCTCAGCATGATTCACTATGATTCAGCATGATTCGGCGCTGTTTCGCTACACGGCTTAGAGCAGCCTATAGCATTCGATTGTCCTGAGCTTGTATTTTAGTTTATCTTAGTTCATAGTTGTAGAACGTTCTAAGTTACAACCTATAACGTTACTTGCTTCACTTGCTTGACAATTTGCTTCCAGATTCATCTCTGAGTGCTTTGCTGATGCATCCTTCCATGTGAAATATCGCACGAAGTGGGATGCCCTAAGGACCACACCATGGACACTGTTGGCAGGAGCATGTTCACAGGGGCAGGATCCTGAGACAGCGCCACCTGCATATTTTCTGCAAATATGTTTGTCTCAGTCTCCTTTGCAGAAGCTTCGAGAGTTTGCTTTCGTCTCTGATAGAGACTCCGCCCCTGTACCTCGATCACATTGAATATTTTTTGAGATACGTGTGCTCACTGTGCGCTCTTTTCTGCTCCTTGTCACAGTCTCCCAAGCGACCGTCTCCGATTTTTCAGTCTTTTTTAGATTTTCAGCGTCCAGGCCAAGTCAGAAACTGCTCCACGGTCGGGGTCGCTCGAGTCAATCGAGTCGCTTCCGAAGAAGTCCAGCCAACTGCTCAGCACAACTTTCCTTAAGGAAGGTTATTTTGGGTATTTAATGCCTTCGGCAAGCCTGCCGGCCATGGAGAGGTGGACCCAAGGGAGTTTGATGTGCACTCTAGGTGGTTGACCGTATACCAGATGAGTACCGCCCCCAGCAAAGGAGCGCCAGGTACTATGTGTGAGCTTCTGGCTTAACAGCAGACCGCTGCATGGAAGGGGACAGGGCGGAAGGGGAGAGAAATTGCTCCAAGGGTGGTTGATGTGCATGGAAGCCTGAAAGAGAAGCAGAAGATGAGAGGAGGAGAAGAAGAAAAAGAAGAAGAAGAAGAAGAGGAGGAGGAGGAGGAGGAAGAGGAAGAGGACGAGGAAGAGGAAGAGGAAGAAGAAGCAGAAGAAGAAGAAGAAGAAGAAGAGGAAGAAGAGGAAGAAGAGGAAGAGGAAGAGGAAGAGGAAGAGGAA